GTTATCCGATCAGCGTGTCCTAGTCCAGAGGTAGATCTCAGTGTAATGTAAACACAATCCAGCCATCGTGTCTGCATTCGCAGGTCGACGTGACGCAAGACCTGCCCCCTCTCTCCCGATCTGTCAGAAGAAAGATGGAGTACACCAGGCCGTGGAGCACTAGTGAGACTTGTACACTTATATCTTTGTGGAACGATGAGAGCATTCAAGCTAAGCTTGAAAGTAGCTACAGAAACAAATCAATATATGAAGGTCTAGCAGAGGAAATGCGTAAATGTGGTTTCGAGAAAACCTGGCTCCAATGCCAAAGAAAAATTAGACATTTAAAGATGAGCTCTGCTTGATCGGATCACGGTGATCGCATGTTAATGTCAAGTGTAAACGCAGCCTGGCTGAAGCCTTGCATATCACATTGGTATAAAACAAATAAGGCGATTGCATGTGTTTTAAAGTTGGCCTAACAATTTAACATACTCGTACGGCTTTTCGTCTTCACAAGTCTCCACGCAAGTCTGTCAGCGACACTGCAGGAGGAAAAGGCCAGTTAGTACAGTTTGACTCAGAAACTGAGCTAGTACGCTAGTACTAGTACACTCTCTGACCATCCAATCAAAGGATGTGAAAATGCCAATGTTATTGTACACCTGCTAGATGGCCCCAGTGTCGCCAACTCGAAATCTGATTGGTTAAAGCAGTGGTTCTCAACCTTTTTTTACACCGGGCCGCACTATGGTCCAAGTGCATATCATTTACATATTACGTCAGCAATACAAACCAACCTGATTTATAATATTATAGCCTAAATATTATGATATCTAATTGATTACATTCATTTAAATAAATCAATAATAAGCGCTAGAGCCCTGCATTTCAGCACTTTCAGACTTTTTTACGCCCCTCGGGCTGGGCTTCGGGACAATTTTCACATCATAGCTCAGATGGGCCTCGGGCCTGTTTTAGGCTTCTTCTTATTTTTATATTTTAGACATCCACCAATTAGTGATGAAAAGATTGCCGCGCTGGTAAAAACAACAGGAGACCGTGCTACCGAGACTGTCAAGAGCGGCTCAACGGTGTTTAGTGTCCTGCAGCAGCATTATGTCTGGTGCGTGCCGTCAGCGCAGCTGAACAGTTCTGCGTTCAAATGCACGCAATAGGCTTAAGTTTGCTGCAATGCACCGGTAAAAGTAATTACCATAAATGCGTCAGGGGGAAACAGTAAGGAGATATTTGAATTATTTACTAATAAACTAGTGTTTTCTGAGTCGGTGTCGCAAGGATGAAGTTGTCGATCCTGACTCGCCATCTCCTCATTAGACGCGCCTTTAGAGAGAAGTGCATCTTTACGGATTATGATCATAATGAAAGAGTTTTTTATTTTTTTTATTTCGTTAAGTAGTCATTTAAAGCTTTCTATAGATATATTTATCATGTCTGTGAGGCATGTATTCACTGAGTTTCGGTTCATTTTTGTGAAGCGTGCCTGTTCAAGACCGAGACGGCAGAAAGAGCATCATGTTTGATTTCTTTATTTTATAAAAGCACAACGTTTTGTTGATACTATGAGTGCACACAAATAAAAGTAGGCCCTTTACCTTTATGAGCAAAAATGATGGTGTATCCACTGAAAAAAATGCAAGTGATTGCGCTGGCATCTCTATGTCCTGCAAAGCGCGCTTCAGCTTCCACTCTCTGCACAAACTATTGGATACAGCGCACATTTATCTAGGTTAAATCTTTAAACATTGTTATATGATTGAACTTTTTAATATCTATATATTTTATTTTAGTCAAGTCGTGATGATTTGAGAAGGCTAAATTGATCAAACATAATAGACAACTGGGAATAATTTAATACACATTAATGGAAAAAGTATATTAAAACTAAGTCAGTGATTCAGTGTAGCAATAAGCATACTTAAAATCAATATATTGTTCAGTTTTACTTTGTACTTTTTGCAATACAATTCAACAATAATTTTAATTTCACTTTTAAATGCATAACATGATACATTCATTGTAATAAGCTACTATTTAACTGTACTTTCCACAAACATTTCAACATTGTATCATTTGAAGTACCAACACATTCTTACCTGTGAAAATGTATCCAGTTTCTTCTGGAATTTAAATGTAGGCGGACAACCAGATGCTGCACAATTTTGTTGCATCTTGAAACTCATTGAATTTTATTGTGAGTGATGACATATAGACTGTTCCAAGATGGCAGACACGTCGATGTGTCCGGAGCGGTCGAATGTGGAATGTGGCATCTACCTACATATCTATGCTTATTACACGGCTCTGTGGAATACTTGATTCTGATTGGTCAGTCGCGACATTCTGAGGTATGTTATCCCTCGATAACATCCGGTAAAAGCTGATAACACACGCTCATCTGGGTAACTGAAGTCAGCTCTATACTCTGGCTAGGAACAGTTTTTCTGTTTCTAAGTTGAAGCTTTGCGTTTGGTTAGCTAATAAAATACTAAAACTCAAATCAATATTATGTGTACAATTATTTAATTATGTCTTCCTGGTATCGCAGACTCGCTCTCTCGTTTCATAAAAACACAGCTGCCGCCATTCTGCGACGATTGTTTTGTACACTGTAATGGATTATAAGGTAACTAACATACTGGTAAGATTTTAAAACATTTTCGTCTTAAATCAATATCTTTTATCGCCATAATTATTTATGTGGTGAAATGTTGTGCTCACAACTGCTGTCTTTGTGGAAGCTTTGCGTTCAAATATTTCAACTCAAATCAATATTTTGTGTCTAACCAATTACTTATGTGGCAAGTAGCCGTGTAATAAGCAGGATAATGTACATCCAGCCGGTTGTTATCGCACATTATATGCACATTAACACTCTTTTGCTTCTCTGTTTCTGGCATCTGATTGGCATCCCGTGGTAACTAGGAATTACACGAGCTTCAGTCTGGATCCAACCCTTACGAAGATCAGAGATGACCGAACACCTGAGAAGATGATGCCAACCCTCAGACAACATACAGAACTAGCACATTTAGCTATGAGTTTGATCGCATCATATAATCATTGCTGTTAATAGTGTTCACCGTCTGTTTGATTACATGACATTAACTAACTGCATGACTTTTACCGCACATTTCTGCCATATGGACAGCAACCTGAGATTGATAAGCTGATAAGCTATTACTAAATATAATGTAGAAACTTTAATTTTCTGTAAAGCTGCTTTGCAACGATTTGCGTCGTGAAAAGCGCTGTACAAATAAACTTGAATTGAATTCAAAACCGCCTTCAGGGGTTCACCCTTTCGGGGGTTATTCTGCGATAACCACCGGCTGGATGTACATTATCCCTTCATTCCTTTTTATTTGTATGTTTATGTACATAAATTCAAAGAAGGTCAGCCTACTGCGTGATGTGTGAAAACAAACTTCCTAGGCTTTTGTGAAAGCTCAGGCGTGCTCAGCATCCATTTATCAGTTCTGATGTATGTGCGTCGATGGATGTGAATAAAAGTTGAGCAGTCGTGTCTCTTCAGAGGACTTGGAAGAAACCAATCGATTCATATGAGTTACTTTTGCGATGTTTGAAGTCATGAAACGTGAACAATTTGGGTGACTTTCAGCGGAGGGACATTAAAATAAATACGTTTTTATTTGAGTTTTTTGTATCAATTTAACAAATACTGTTACTTGGTGATGAAAACCTGGAACCAGGAACCATCTGCCTCTTTTGAGTTTTATTTCTTCACTGCTACAAATAACTAAAAAAAAAAAACTGATAGTTTTTATAGTGTAGAGTTAAATAGCTCTGCACTAACACCAATTAATTTGTTTTTCTGCTGTCAAATTGTGATATGCATCCTGTTA